AACTCCCTTGGGAGATAGAAGGGTCTGCACGAGACTGCCAGAACCTCTAAATCAGGAGAACAGTGTGTGTTAATGATCCTACTATTACAGCATCACTCGATGTTCACGTAAACACAGAGCCCCCCTCCTCTGCTCTTACCTGAGTCTCTGTTTCTATCATGCCGGTGTAGCGTGCGTCCTGCGAGCTCGACTGCAGCGTCGGGGATCCGCGGGTTAAGCCACGTCTCCGTGATGAATATAATACTGCAGTTCCGTACAAAACTCGTAGTTGCCATCTGTAGCTCCAATTCATCCATTTTGTGGGTGATGGATCTAGCGTTGGAGAGGAAGAGGCTCGGTAGTGCTGGCCGATGTGGTTGTTTACGTAGCCTCGCATCCAAGCCCGACCGGCATCCCCGCTTCTGCTTCCTCTCTCTCCGCCGCCTTTTTCGCCTGCTGGGCGGGCTGACCATCCACGGAGACCCCGGTGGTCTCGCTATGTCCTCCGGTATATTGTGTGTTCTCTGGTAATCGCCAGTAACACAGAGATTGTGTCTGAAACCCAGGTCGATTCGGTTCTGGCGACTGTATGAGGTAACGGTGTCACATAAATAAAAAAAATCACTCAAAAAAAGTGCTATATACAGTAAAAACAAGCACCAAGTTAGAGAGCTACGAGCCGCTGCACCCGTGCGCGCCGCCATCTTGCTATTTTCCTAATAACTCTGCAAAGAACAAAAAAGATATATAGGGGAGACGGTATGGTTGTAACATGGGGAGAGTTGTAACACCACCAATTCCACCAATTAGGGATAAGATAGGAGTTATATGATCATTTCAGTGTTTACCCACTTCCTCCCCGATCCCACATGGTGGTTGTCAAGGTTGGAAACAGGCGCATGCAGATTCTATAGAGAAAAAATGGATTTTGAGGTAAGAAAGTGCATTTTTTTTACCAAGACTATATTTTGTTTAGTATTTATATTATTGTACATAAAACCATATGACTTACAGTAGATTAAATTGTAGTTTCTCAGGCATAATGTGATGCATTTTCCCCCTGCTAATTTCAAACCACTATTCTAATACAGCTAGCTAAACAATGGCTGACAGGGGTGGGGTGGGTTGTAACACATCTTTAAAAAGTGTTACAACCATCCCCTTACATACAAATAAGAACACTTTATTAATTTTAATACATTTTACAAATAATGGATAGTGGATAAGAAATACTGACAGAGGTGTGCCTGCAAATGTTTAAAAAAAAAGATTCTGATGAGGTCACAAAGAAGGGCAAGTCAGTCAGATCAGTTGAGAAGGCACATGAAATCTGCCATGTAACTGAGCAGAAGCTGAGAGAGGCTGAGGCAGGGGTCCATTGATCTTCCTAGTATAGGTTACTGAAGCAGCAACAAAGTTTTCTCTGAGGTGCAGAAGAAGTGTTGGCTGAGGCAGCAGACCTGTATTATGGACTGACTCCACGTGAGGTAAACATGTGACAGGTTAGTCACTGGAGACCAGAGAAGAATTGAATACTAGCGTAGGTGCCAGACAAATGGAAAAACTTTTTGTGTCTATGTTCTCAGGTTTTCTATTCCACTTTCTTTTATGTCAGAAATTTTTCATATCAACTGGCAGTAATATATAACATCAAACACCCACAAACATCGGATGAGAAGCAGATGGCAGGGCCTGACTAGTTCACATTTTCTATGAAGCGGCCAGCCTCTTTTTACAGCGCACTCTCACTCTCAAAATCTCTATCTCCTCACAACCCCATTTTGAAGCATAATGATGCATCTTATATAGCTGGTATGGTACCAAACCACCCAAACCTGTCAAGCTGTTATTGGCCCAGAATGCATTGAAATGCCATGAGCCAATGACACAAACTGAAAGACTATGAGCCAATGAAAAGCTTCAAGACATTTTGAAGCAATGAAGCGCAAAGAGAAACAGCATATATATATATACATATATATACATACAGATATATACACAGTACATACATATACACATGTGTATATGTATGTACTGTGTATATATCTGTATGTATATATATGTATATATATATATGCTGTTTCTCTTTGCGCTTCATTGCTTCAAAATGTCTTGAAGCTTTTCATTGGCTCATAGTCTTTCAGTTTGTGTCATTGGCTCATGGCATTTCAATGCATTCTGGGCCAATAACAGCTTGACAGGTTTGGGTGGTTTGGTACCATACCAGCTATATAAGATGCATCATTATGCTTCAAAATGGGGTTGTGAGGAGATAGAGATTTTGAGAGTGAGAGTGAGAGTATTTTTGGAAAGACAAACCATTATCTTAAAGGTTTTCCTGAAAAACACTTAATGTTAAAAATAATGTTTCTGAATTCAAATACCATGATCATGTGCAAAGTAGGAAGGATCTCTAATCCTGTTAGGGACTTTTAGTACAGTTTTTAAATAAAGCTTTAAATAAACTCTTAACCAACATTTAACCCTAATATAATTAGCCTTTATTCTTTGGGTTAATCTGGAATGTGTTTTAGAGTATGGGGGAGAGCATCTGCACATTTTATTGTAATGACGATATAATCATTATTTGGTATGAATGAACAAAACACTTGAATGACCACACAGACTTTTCTGAACTTTTATTGCTGTCATGGGATACAGTTTCAGTGCTTCAGTCGTGCTCTTTAGGGGTTGCTATGGCTTCAGTTGTCCACCAGATGTCACCGTCACTGAAGTCTTGAAGCTTTGAATCTTTTTCGGCACAATTGTCAGGAAAGGCTCAGTGCTTCAGGAGGCTTCACTTGCCCACCACTACTTTTCGGTTTACATCTGGAGTCACTTGCCAAACCTGAATCGCTATAAGTGTACCAACACAACTCCTACCTCAAAGCCCGTAAGTTCACAGATTTTTACTCTTCCTTACACGTCCAGTGTTCAAGATGCTTAACATCCAATCAGTGCCTGCATATTGTAACATACAGTCAGCGTGGAATTTCATGTAGTGAAACAACAGTGGCCTCCTAACATCTAACAATTTTTCATCTGTGAAAAAATTAAATACAATGCTTATACCAGCATTTTAAATGATTAAATACAATCTTTTTTAATACAAAACATCTACAAACATCCATATTTACAATCATCAGTTGGATATGAACACATACATTGGTAGCTAAATTTGGTCTAATAATGTCTAACTGTTAACCTACAACTTGTGTTTTTTTTTTTACTTTTATAAAAGACTTCCTACAAAGTGTCCTGCATTTAAGAAAAACAGTTCACCTATTCATGTGGAAGTAATGACCCTGCTCTGACTGTCATGTTAACACAGGTACAATGTATTGCATGTAAAGCAACAGGAAGTTAAACGCTCTTGTACTTATTTATTATTTTCGTCTCTGTCTCTTCAGGTGGAGCGGAATATGGCAGTATGCCATCCGTTTGAAGTCAGTGTCTCTCTGTTGGCATTGTGTCTAATGCTGTGTTTAGCTGCAAGTGTGTCACAATTGCTGATATGTTGCAACTCCTGGAATGGGTTGGATGTTGGATGTAAATGTTTTAGAAATCTTGACACCAAATAATTTTTTTGTGCCAATGTCCTTAAAATAATTTAAAGCATGCATAATCTTCATCTTGCAGGAACCTTTGCTCGACACTTGATCAGTTCTCACCCTGTTCGTCATGGAGATATCAAATTTCTGCTGCCTTAAACAAGTGTAATTCAGTGAACCTGCAATACTAAGTCTGTGGAATGTTCCTAAAGTAGAAAACAAACCTTTTATAGAAAATGCATAGTTCTGTAACTTGTTAATAAAACAACTGTAGCTTTTGATCTGAGTTATTGGTAGAAATTAGGAGACAAACTCTTATTAGGAGTTAACTGGTGACAGGCATATATTTATTCCCTAAGTATATTTACTTATTTTTTTCCTACGGACATGTTACCAATGATTAGCAATATATTTAAATGCAACACTTTGTATTTTGAATGCAATGACATTTTTTTGTGGACTGTCAATATAAAATATAATAAAATATAAAAAAAGGAAAAACAAAATTGCCTTTGTGAAATGTCTTACTGACATTTTGTTAGTGTTTTTTAGTGGCATCCTTTGGTGTTGGGGTCTTAATATTGTATACCCTCTTTCAGGTGACTGTTTCTAAAGATGGACTGTGTGAGAAATGTTTACCCTTGATTACCTTATGCAAAATGTAGATCGTTTTATTTTTTTTACTACATGATCAACATAATTTAGAGTTTAGCTTCTATATTTGTCAGGTTGGTGCCTAGCCACAAATAGTTTATTATAAAATCAAATCAAACAATGTCCAAAGTATTCACATTTAGTGGAACGTGTGAGGTAGGGTAAAGTTGGGTTTTTTTGTCTTCGACTGTTTATTTATTTATCCTATAGAGGGCAGCATTTCATTGAACAATATCGACCTACCAGCGACACTTGATCGAGTAACCGATATACGAATCTTCCTTCACATCTGTCTTTTTAAATGTGTAGCTATTCTACTCTAGTCTAATATAGCGCTTCGTGTTTTTACTGCGTTACTCATTAGCCTTTAAAACGTGATACCTTAAAAAAGGGTTACATTTATTGTAATGTTCCCGCTAATCCACTGCTAAATTTTTTCACATACGTCACGACAATAATAAACTACGGAAGCGTATTGCTGCCACACTAAGAATAAAAAATGTGGCTCAGTATCACGTAATTACGTGATAAGTTTCACGTTATTACGTGATAAGTTTCACATTATTACGTGATAAGTTTCGCGTTATTTCGTGATAAGTTTTACGTTTTTACGTGATAAGTTTCACGTTATTTCGTGATAAGTTTTACGTTATTACGTGATAAGTTTTACGTTATTACGTGATAACTTTCACCTTACAGTGGTCCCTCTCTGTATCGCGGTTCTACTTTTGCTCCCTCAGTACATCGTGGATTTTTTAATCCAATCTCTAAACATTAAAAATGTTTTAATTTCCAATATTTTCATTTTTCTAGCCTACAAGGGAAAATAGTATTTAAATAAAAGAAAAGGCATTTTGCAACACATAAATACATACAGGGTAATACATAAAAAACATGTACAGTACGTACGTTTGGGAAATCTAAGATATATGTACTGTCTAAATTCTTCTTTTTCTTTCGGCTTTGTCCCCTTTTTTTTCAGGGGTTGCCACAGCAAATCATTGATTTCCATCTCTCCCTGTTCTCTGTATCTTCTACTCTGACTCCAACTATCTGCATGTCCTCCCTCACTGCATCCATATATCTCCTCTTTGGCCTTCCTCTCTTTCTCCTCCCTGGTA